CCTGGCAGTGACTGCAGGGTTTTGGAAGTTGCACTCATAAACTTGTGTCTCAATTCCCTTTCCTATCTCAACTGAGAGGGCCAGAGTGGCAGTACAGTGGTGAGAGCATTTGCCTTGCATGCCGCCAACCTGGGTTTCATCCCTGGCATCCCATACAGTCGCCCAAGCGAGCACCACCAGGAGTGATTCCAGAGTAAGCCCTGAGCACTGCCAGGTGTGGTCAAAAAACAAAAACTAAAGCAAACACCAGCTGACAGAGAGACAGTAGCACATAGAGATGAGCTATTCTTATACCTTTACTTTTGCCACTTTACAAAATTCTTTTCATGGGGCCACACTTAGGCCACAGGGCCAGAGAGGTAGTAAAGGGTTTATGGCAGTTTGCCTTGCATGTGCCCAACCCTGGTTCTATCCTTGGCACCACATATGATTTCTCAAGAACTGTCAGGAGGGAGCCTGAACACTGCTGGGTGTGGTACATCACCCCACTCCTGTCCCCTGGACCCCCACCCGACAAATAAATAAACTTGAGGGCAAAAGGCTCTGGATACCTGTTCCAGGGTCATTCCAGGTCATGGAATCGGAGGCCAGCAAGTGGGAAAGCTCAAAGGGGCCCTAACTCCCACAGCCCCCTGGCACTAATCGTCTATTCTCCCATGCATACTCAGGGTCCCCAGGGGGGTCTTCCTGCTTGTCCTTCTACAGCCATGCTGTCTCACTGCTTTCCACAAATAGTCCCACACACTCTCTGGGGACAGGGACGGGCTGCCCACCCCTCCCCAACCCCCGGGCCCCTGCCACCAACACTCACACCAAGGGGAGGAAGGCAGGTGATTCACGATATCCGTCCCCCCTCCAAGCCAAAAGCTCGCCCCCGACTCCAGCCCCCCTCTGCAAGTGAAAGAACCCAAGACCACTCTGTTCAAAACAGTTTATTTTATTTTATTTTTTTTTTGTCAGACAAACACATTGATTTCTGGACCACAGTAGAGGATGGAAACCTTTCACAAACTTATTTATTTGAAAATACAAATATAAAATTATACTTTCCACATCTGTGATGTGAGAGACTGCCATCCACATAGTAATTTTTTACAACAGGGCTTTAAGAAAGCCACACACAAAGACCTGAAAGATGCTTGAGATATATATATATATAGATACATATATATGTATATATATAAAAAAAATACTCACTACCAAAGTTGTCATCAGTTTCATACTAAAGTATAAAAGGGTGAGGTCAGCCACAGTGCTAGGGAAAGTTTTATTGAGATACATTTATGTCCACATGAAACGCTGAGACTTGCACCCTATTACATATGGAATTCTGAGTTTACAATACACCGAGCGTGGCCCGCGGGCCCGCCCACGCTACTCAAGAGGACACGCACAGACCCCACCCAGGATGGCACAGTATGTACAGAGCGCAGGACCAGGGGTCTTGCAAGGAGGCCCCGCCCTGCCCCTCCGCCCCCTACTTCCCAGAAACACAACTCTGATCCTTTGAGCCAAGTGTGTGGATTAAGGTCGCTTCCCGGAGGGGTGGGATTTTTCACTCTAGTTTGTGTGTATGTTTGAGTTTACTGAACTTCTTTTTCTTTTTTTTTCTTTTTTTGGTTAAAAAAAATAGACAGAAAGAAAAAGAAAGCAAACACATTACAGTAATAAAGTATTGCTTAACTGACAGCATCGTCTGGTATGGTGTCTGTACCCAGACTGGGCTGGGCTGATCTGCTGCTTTTCTGCTACAGGGGTGCAGGGGAGGGCGGGGAGGCCTGCTAGTGCCTCTCGTTCACGTGCTACTCTGCGTCTCTCCCTCCGGGCCCCCTGATCTCACCTACCTTAGAAGGTAGCCTGGTGGTAAAGCACGTTTGAGAGAAAAAAAAAAAATTTCTCCCCACTGCCCTCCCCCCAGCTTCCCTCTGTCCCTGTGAGCCGCTCCCAACCGATAAAGAGAAGTATGAGTTAGTGTTTCTTTTGTAAACAATTTCATATGCAATATAATACAGAAAGCATGGCTGACCTTCAATAAAAAAAACGTAGTAAACTATATTGCTTTATTCTTGATTAGGCTGCAGTGAGTGAATGGCAGAATGAAGCCGTGTGGGGTGGTGGCTAAGTCCCTAGCCCTCGTTTGCACTAAAGATCAAAATAGATTCTGTCTTTCTACTTCGAACCAAAGAAAAAGGTTTCTTTTTTCCAAAATTCCCAAATGAAAAAAGGAAAAAAAAAAAAAAGCCCAACAACAAAAAAGACTCAACTCCACCCCCCTGGAAAAAAAAAAACCAAAAAAGTCAAAAAAAAAAAAACACACGCACACACGCACAAAAAAAAAAAAAAACAACAAAAAACTGAACACCTTTCAGGTCATTAGAACCAACAATTACCCAATGATTTTCTACTAGTCTAGCAAGATGTGTGTAACATTCACTGGCTGTGAATTGCTGTGCAGTGGAGCAGTAGATTGACAGCAATAGAGCCATGCTACCTTAAAGTCCAAGCTACGAGTTCAAATTAGGATGAAGGTTTATGAAGGAGAGAAACGCAAAGGCCTGTTTGGATTTCATTCGAATCAAGCCAATGGGCGAGTAGGAGAGAGCGTGAGGCGGTTTCGTTTTTCCCAATGGCTGTGAGGACGGCCACAAAGCGGGTCGGCTAGCTCCTCAGGGAGGACACCGTGAGCAGGGCCATCCTGCCGGCTCCTCGGCCAGGCAGAACCAGGAACGGCGAGGTCCAGGAGCTAAAGCCGCTCACTCTCCTGGGCTTGGAAGGAGCGGAGCTGGGGGGATTGGGACGGGGGTTCCCAGGCAGATGGTTCTGGAAGCCAGAAAGTCACCCGGCAGCTACTGTAAGAATCCGGGGAAAAGCCATCCGCCAAGAGAGGGTCCCCGGGGGGGAAGGCGGTGATGGCTCCTGTGTTCGCCACTGAGCTCAACTGAAACAAAGACAGGCTGAACATCGGAGCTAAAATAATTCACAAAAATCGTTCAGAATGGACTTCTAGATGAGTGGGGGAACTAACGTGAACCTAGGTAGCCACATGAAAACAGATCAGATTTCCACAAGATTTGTGCTATGGGCTACTGGGGTCTCGTCAAAAGGTATTATAAACATCTAAAACATATTCACACAGATTATCAATTTCTTCTGAGCATTCTTAAAAAAATATTTTTTTTCTCTTAGTAAAATCATTTTAATATACCATGCCTCCCTCTTTTAAAAAATAAATTAAAAAAATCCAGTTTTGCATATCTAGCATTAGCATTTAAGGTAGTATGGCACACCCCGTCCACAGCGGGGTGGGAATCTACAAAACACGGCCAAGTCAGCCGGCAATGGAACATCGTGAGACCTTGGGTTAGTTGAAACCACATCAGATCAGCAAAAAAATAAAATTAAAACTTGAAATCAAAAAAAAAAAAGGAAAGGAAAAAACTGCCCCAAAATGATTAGCTTTTTTTTTTCCCCCATAAATAAGAGAAAGTTCTATCCTTACTGGTCCTAAATCTGAATAACTATGTCTAATTTTTTTAAACCTTAATTACGTTATACCTATCAATATGTACTAGAAGAAAGAGGAGAAACAAAGTCACTAGACTAGTACCAGGACAGCACGCTTACAAGATAGCCATTTTATACATTATTAACAGACCACGGTCAACCAAGGGTCTTGTATGAGGCGATGGGGGATGCGGAGAAAGGAAGGTGGCAGAGAACATCTCCAACGTGGACCGAGCATCCGCAGGCACCCGAGTTTAGACACGGGTTGCTGGGGACTCGTTGTCTCATTTTTTTTTCTTTTTGTTTTTAAAGAAAACCTATTGTTTTGTTATTTTATAACTTGAACAAGTTTTAATATTTTAAAAGCGCCCAGCATTTCACTTTAACCTGGTTGTTTGGAAATAAAACAAGAAAAAAAAAAGGGGGAAAAAAAAAACAACTCACCAAACAACTTAACTTCTTACTGGAAAAACAAATAACATGATTTAAAAAACAAAACCAAAAAGTTGTTGCTATTTCATTAGAATTGAAAAAGACTTTTTTTCCCCCCTCCCATTCTGAGTTAGCATTTTGGAGCCTTTTGTTGGAAGATGCTTTTTCCCTACCTTGTCTGTGAATGTCTACATTAGTCTACTTTGTTAGTAAAATTTATAAAAATAGGAGTGCAGCAGCTCTTTATAATAAATGTCGCATTCAGTGTCTCATACTGGCTGTGCCTTAAGTACCAAATTTATAAACGTAACAATTTTAAAAATATTAATAAAACGTCAATATCACATTTTAAAAAAGAAAAAAATATATATCCACACTACAATATGTTTTAATGCCATCTATTGAGTTGTACTTCTATAGTTGCTGTTGCCGACCTATTACCAATATTAAAAAAAAGTTAAATTAAAAAATATCCTTCATCATAAGTCTCTTTCCCCGACTGAGGACCATATATTATAACAGCCAAAATGCTCAACATGTGCAAACAGGAAACTGTCAGTTTTCCCCACCCGTCACAGTGCAGCGATGTTTATACTTTTTAATCTTTAAAATTCTGTTTACATCTACAATAAATTAAAAAAAAGAAAGAATTCTTCCCTAGCCTCTCTGGTGATACTTGCAGCACTGAGGTATTGAAAAAAAAAACAAAAACAAAACATATAAACCAAAAAGGGTGCTTTCCTAATTTGTAGATGGAAGAAAGTCAATGGAGAAAGATTTCATGAATGCAGGCTTGCCCACTCCTAACCCGAGGGTGCCCACAACTAGGGACCCGTTTGGAGGGGGAGGGCGGGGGGAGGGGAGTAGAGAGGCTGAGGGTCCTAGGGACCTTAGGAGGTGCTGAAATGATTGGACAATAGAAAATGATCAAATAGTTAAAAATTAAGACTGAGAAAGAAATGTCCCCACCCCTCCCCACCCAAGCCAAACAGGTGTGCTTTGAAACTTTAAATATGTTAAATATTAAAATTGTAGCTTTGTCTTTAAAAAACATCTTGGGAAAAGCAGTTTTTCATATTTTAAATAAAAATCTAACTAGACGGTAACACCGGAAGCTGTGCACAGACGAAGTTAATATGCTGGTATGACACGAATACATTTCTTGGGTCTAACACATAGACAAAAGGAGCTAAACGGTGTTCTAACTGCCCGGGGCGGCCGGCAGCTCGAGGCCCACCTCCCAGCTCAGCGTCCACCCGCCTCCACTCTCCTTACCCCCAGAGCCTCGCGCTGCCTGAAACCAACTCCCTCACAAAAATATGCTTTTTTTTGATTCTCTCTTTCTTAATAGCTTCTATGTAGTTAATGGAATTGTATTTACAAATTTCTTTCGCAGAATTCACAATTGAAAAGAAAAAAAAAACCCTTATAATATCACCTCTTTCAACAGAAAAAAAAAAAAGCACTCAAGAGGAAGGAGAACACTGCCAACGTCATCCTTCCCTTATTGCCGAAAAGAGAGAGACTCGGGGAACAGAGAGACGTCACAGAAAAAGAACGGCTAGCGAGTTTGTGGATCAGCGGATACCATCTCACTGGCACACAACGCAGCGGGGAGCGTGGACACCCCGCTCCCGCTCTGCGCCCCACGGCCGCTCCTCTGTGCACGCAAGTCCCACCTGGAGGTTCAGACAGTCTCAGAACTGGTACCCAAACATTTGAGAGTCATTTTACCATCTCAGCATCCTTTAAAAGTGAGAACAGAACTGAAACAAGCGTGAGGGTGGGGTTGGGGGGAAAAGTGTTTGGTTTTTTTTTTTCTAGAAAGAAAAAAATGATATCTTAAGATAACAATTCTACTATGGTTAGCTTTTAACTAGATAGTAAAGCTATATGACTACTGGACTACATCAAAATCACTACCAAATGTGATTCAAAGAGATTTAAAAGGAGAAAGGTGGGGGTGGAAGGTGGGGGGGGGGGAGGAGTGGGAAACCGTCAAGAAAAACCAAACCAAACCAAACCAAAATCATGGGTTATATACACATTGAGAAGCTGTTGTCGTATATTACAGCAGAACTGTGAGGTGATGAGATACCGGCCACCTGATCCGAAGTGAGCCATCTCTGGTTGGGATGGGGAGTGAGCTGGTGGGGGTCCAGGTCTGATGACATCACCTAAACAAAGGGCCACTCAGAAACTTCGCCCAGTCTTGCCTGGACATCCAGGGATGCTCTGCAGGATGCACGAGGTCGGGACAGCCGCAGGAGAACATGAAGAAGGGGGTGGGAGGAGAGAGAAGAGTCAGCGAGCAGAGCACGGATTCAGAGGTTTCCACCAGCGCTTTCCAACTGTGACCCCACTGCCTCAGGGGGCCTAAGCCTGCTGAGGGGTAGCCTGGCTGACAGCCCACCGGGGTCTGGGCTGGGGAAATGGCACTTCGAAGCCACACTGGGCCCTGGCGAGCAGCTCTACTGCGCCCCCTGCAGGCCTGCTGTGTGGCTGCCACATTTGGACAGAAGGGCTGGACCGACTCAGACCAACTCAGGGGTCCACAAGGCTGTGCTAGGATTTCAGGTGAACTGGTGCAGGGAGGACTGGGGGGAATTGTTTTTTTTTTTTTGATAGGGCGGTTTGCCTTGCACGCAGCCGACCCGGGTTCAGTTTCCAGCATCCCATATGGTCCCTCAAGCACCGCCAGGAGTAATTCCTGAGTGCAGAGCCAAGAGGAACCCCTATGCATCGCTGGGTGAGACCCAAAAAGAAAAAAAATGAAAAAACTATGCCTGCCTTTATCAGTGTCCCATGGATAACTATCCAATGAAGAGTCAAAGTTCTGCTGAGAGATCACCTCACATAGAAAGGACTCAAGGTCGGGATGCTGAGGCAAACCCATCCAACAAAGAACCAGCTTCACAGGTGGGGCCCAGCCCAGCAGTTTCATACCAGCCAACTGGTTTGCCCAGGATCAGCTGTGAATCCGGGGACCTCTGGCGTGGACAGCACTGAATGTCTTGGGGTTGGGTGGGGGGAATCCCCTTTTTGGGGGACAAAGTGTGTGTTTGGGGGTAGCCAGGGACTCCGAATCTATATGGGGGATGGTTTGCTGCTGGTGTTCCCTCTACTCCTGTTGGTTTCCGTTTGTGTGTGTGTGTGTGTGTGTGTGTGTGTAAATAGAGCCCTAGGAGGGGCAGGCTGACTGCGGCTGGGGCTGTAGCTACCTCCAGCGCCCCTCTTCTCCCCAGGAGCACCACCCAGGGCGCACCCTGGCCTCAGTCATGGTGAGTTATGAATGAGCACTCCTTCAGGTGGGAAATAGTGGCCTCTGGTCCCCCAGCCCCCGGCAGTGCTGCGTCAGGGCTGGAGGGCAGTGGAGGCGAGGGGGGTGGGTTTCACACGCATGGGGAGGGGGCGGGCAGGGGTTAAAGGGTTTATTGGGTTAAGAGAGGCACTTGCGTTAGTGGAGTGATTCTTTAGCAGCGACATTAAGAGAAATCTGCGAGAGATTTATGGAGCTCCACTGAACTCCATCCGGGCCCACACCCCAGGGTCCTGCCTCAGGCGGGGGGAACCCAGCCCTCTGCAGCGGAGCCCCAACACTGCCAACGCAGTCCCCTCTAGCTGGCACCCTGAGCCTCTAGCTTGTGGCTGAGGTGCTCAGGGCCCAGCTGGGATGCACCTTCTTCTGCCCGGTCCCCCCTACAGCTGGTGTGTGAGCCCCGAAGACACCCGGCTTCCCCAGAGGACCCCTTCCCTTTCCGTGCCCTGCGAGGGTCCGAAAGAGTCCCAGAGACAGTGTGGCAGGAAGCCCCACCTCCCCTCTCCCACGCGCCTCTTCCACAGCCCCCGTCACAGTGATTTAAAGACAAAGTTTAATTAACTTGAGCTCGGTTTAAAAAGGTTAGGAAACTGGCAGGGATCCAAATGCACGTGATGCAGGTGATGGCGTTAATTTAATCTGCTTTTTCGTGCGGTAATCTGGGTAATTACTCTGTCGTTACTGGCGAAAATGTTTTCTTTCTCATGAAAAGATGGAGTGGAGTTGGGCTGTTTCACAACATGACACGGAACTCCATGGGCTGAGTCCCCGGAGCTGTGGGGTGCCGAAGGGCCTGTGCCCCGCCCAAGACCAGCTCCCTGCAGAACTTGGGGGTCCACCAGATTTGCCCTCCAACCCCCCTGGGCCAGGCACTGCTCCAGATCGCCTTCCAGTTTCCCACACTCTTGATTGCGTTTCAAGACATAGAGAGGAAGAGGGGTGGGGAAGATGAAAAGGAATTTGAAGAACCAAATCACAGAGCAGGGGAGAATTTGGGGAAAAAAAAGAAGAAGAAACACAACAGAGAAAGGAGAAAGTACATATTGGGGGGTTGGGGGGGTGTCGTAACTGAAGCAGGGGCAATGGAGAAGAGATGAAGAGAAGGGGCAGCTTCCTCACCCCTACCCCTGTATGAAGGGGCCCAGAGAGAGAGAGAGAGAGAGAGGGAGGGAGGGAGAGAGGGGGAGAGAGAGAGAGAGAGAGAGAGAGAGAGAGAGAGAGAGAGAGAGAGAGAGAGAGAGAGAGACGGGGCGTAGGGAGGGCTGGGCCCCTGCGTCCATGCATGGCCGGTGCACACGCAGGGACGCGCCCGGCAGGGCAGAGACGCGTGGAGAGAAGGTAATACCTCGGAGTGAGATGGCAGCGAGAGCACCTGCTCAATGGTATCCATTTGTAAAGGCCGCTGCAATCAAAGGTCCCTAAAATTGCACAATTGTTAAGGTCATCAGCACGCTATACATGGGAACAGATTGTCATATTCTGGGAAAGGAGATTGTCTTTAGGGCCAGACTGTGGTTGCCAGCATGAATATGTCACCCTGAGACACCGTGCCAGGGGGGACCCAGAGGAGACCCCCCAGCTACAACCCTGAGCCCTCCCCCTGCCCCCGCCCGCCCAAACTTGTCTGCTGACCCAGGGGGGAAATCAAAAGCTGGATTGGGGGTAGGTGGGTGAATGAGGCTCCCAACGTGGAGCACTGAGGCCCTGGCCCCTCCACCCATCCCCCGGGGAAAGAATGACAGAGTCTCCCCATCCTGGCGGGCCCCACAGGGGACAGAGTCAGCCCTGGTGTAGGGGGGGCCTGGAAGCTTCAGCTCATTCCAGAAGCTCATGTACTGCGTGGGTCAGAAGACCCAGAGTTTCCAGGACAAACAGGGTCTGGGTTTCTGGTGCTGAAAATGGAAATGAACCGTGTTTGAAGTGGCGGGGGACAGCTTCCCAGGCTGCTGCAGTTCTACATGGAATAATAATAATAATAATAATAATAATAATAATAATAATAATAATAATACGCCAGGATTTGGTTCTGTTGCTGATCTGAGGGGATTGACTGGACTTATCCCCTACCCACAAAAGTGTTTTTTTTGGCTTGGGAGTGGCATTGGACATGGACCCAGATGGCACAGGCCGTGTGTGAGCACAGGTGCTCTGTGCGTGTGTACGTGTGTGCATGTGTGTCAGGTGTATGTCTGTGCGAGTAGGCGTGCATGCCTGGAGGGAGGTATCCTCCAGTGCAGCCCGCACAGGCCTCTGAAGCTTTCAAGTACAGTGGGTAGGGCGCTTGCCTTGTACGCGGCCAACCTGGGTTCGATTCCCGGCATCCCATAAGGTCCCCCGAGCACTGCCAGGAGTAATTCCTGAGTGCAGAACCAGGAGTAACCCCTGTTCATTGCCAGGTGTGACCCAAAAAAGCAAAAAAAAAAAAAAAAAAGGAAGCTTTCTCCCCAAGAGCCTGACCGGGAAGCTGACCTGGGACAGCAGACGACACTCCCCTCTGAGTTCCAACCCAAGCGGCCCCTAGGGGGCTGCGGAGGGCTGACTTTGAGCTTCCCGCCTGCGAGGGAGAGCGAGCAGGTGGACTCAGGCACATTCATGCTCACACACACCGGGAAGGGGAAGAACAATACAATCTGAAAACAGCATGCAAATCTGTTAAGCAAATTTCCATTGCCTGGATTAGTCAGATTATAGAACCACAGAGCATTACAAATATCAAATGCATCGGGCCTCCGGGGGGGCCCGGAGCTAAAGGAGGCGCAAGTGGGGATTTACTTGGACCCTGGAAAGTGGAAGAAACATTAGCGGGGGGGGGGCATTGGGGGAGAGGGTGGGCACCCCACATCGTAGCCCGGGCACCCTCAACCAGGAGCTCAACCTACTTGGCCTGCAGCTTTCCCCTCCCCGCCCCCCGCCCCCCAATCTCCAGAAGGAAGGGCTTAGGAGACGGGGCTGAGACTGTGGACTCCTGTGTGCTGGCCGGCCACAAATTCTCTGGCCATCTGCCCTCGCCCTGTCTTTCCAGGACACAGAAGCAGTTTTGCTCAGCAGCAGGGAAGTGATGGGCTCGACTAGGGGTGCAAGGTCACCCTCCCTGCCCGCCGCACCTGGTCTGCCTTGCTTCTGGGCTCCCGCTAACAGCTTAGCCCACATTGCACCTGGCCCTTGGGGTGGTCGGGGTGGGGTGGGGAGGCTCAGGGAATCGGCCCCCAGGGGTTGAGGGAGACTCACCACCAAACTCTCCCTGCTCTTCCCCCGCCCCCCTGCCAGGGTCACAGGAAATGGTCAGGGCTGGTGAGGTTGGGGAGGGGGCGGGGGCAGGCAGTACTTACAGCTATGCCATGGCCGAAGCCCGAGCCTGGCTGTGGGCTGGCCGCGCTTATGTAATTCCCCACTCCGGAGTCCTGGCTGGCAGGGCCGTAGAGATCAGCGACAGGTCCTGGGCTGTTGGCCCCCGGGAAGCCTCCGGGCCGCGCCGGGTTGGAGCCTGCCGGGGAAGCGGGCGCGCCAAAATTCGGTTGAGCACTGTAGCTATTCAGGACTGGTGTGCAGAGAATAGAGCTGGGTATGAGGCCGGAAGCCAGGCATGCACCGGTCATTACAAGCCAAACACTCGAGAAAAACAGCTGAGGCCCGACTTCTAACACTCAACCAAGGCCATGCGGAAACACCAGCGGGGACTCAGGAAGACTCAGCCCAGGCTACTACTAAGAAGCTCGGAGCTCCGAAAATAGAGAGAATAAAAAAACAGTCATTCAAACACACTACGGCAACCAACCGGAGGTGCTTCACTGCCCACCAAATTATCACAATAGAAATAGAGATATATATGGGAGAGAGAGAGTGAGAGAGAGAGAGAGGTTTTTGTTCACATCTGAACCGATGCTCATGCAGTCTTGTCTAGGTCTGGGCACGGTGAGACAGCATTCACATCCCATGCAAACTACAAAGGAACTAGTTTTAGACTACACATTGTGTTAATATTGATATTAAAACGTGACCGTGACAGGAGACAAAGCAATCTGTGTCCAGGAAAAAAAAAATCTTTGGGGAGGGGTTTTTTTCTTTTTCTTTCTTTTTCATTTGTTTTGGTTCACTTTTTTTTTCTTTCTTTTGTTTTGGATCCATTAAATGACAAATTTGTCTTTTTAAAAAAAATCAGAAAAAAAATCTCCATTCTTCAGCACCCCCAAACCACTTCCCCCCTCCCCACTGGCTAGTCCCTCCCTGGACCGCCCCCTCCCCATTTAGTTCCCTGCATGAAAGTCATCAATACTGAACGTGGTCGAGGATGGGATATGTCATGGAAAATTCGGGCATCTTAACAGAACCAGAATGATGGTGGCAGAGGAGCCCTTTTGGGGTGAAGAGCAGGGGATGAAGGGAGGGGATGGGGGAATGGGGAACTCTTGGGGCTAGGACCAACAACTCTACAGGACACCCACGCACTCACCTCCTGAAGTAGAAAGGAAAGGGGGGATTTAAACATTTTTTTCCTTTTGTTAAAAAAAAAAAAGACAAGTCTGAATGCAGAGCAAACGGACCAAACCGACTCTAGTTAAAGCAACACAGACGGGCAAGTCCCTGTCTTAGTGACTTCCAGATTTCAGACTGAGAGAAAGAACTAGGAACGGGGCCTGTGCCACAGAGAATAGGACCCCCCATTCCCCAAACCCTGAGAGAGGGTCCTGGTGGGAAGAGGCAGTGGGGGAGGAGTCACCTGGCCCCCCAACCCTGCGCCAACCCCCTCCACGGAGGGCATGGTCTGTCTACCAAGCCACGCGCTCTCATTTTTCTTTCTTCCTAGTAAGCTTCAACTTTTTTCTTTTCCACAACAATCAGTTTTATTTCTCAATGGCCAAGTTTGGCTTGCACTGATTTGGGAAGCTTCGAGACCAAGCCCAGCGCTCTTGGCCCTCAGTGAACCCCTCTCGTCTCAGCAGCAGCTGTGGATGATGGGGGCCCCTCACGGCATCTTCCCTCCCTCTGCCCCTGCCAGCGGCCTCCCACGATGGAGAAAGAACAGCTGAACCCCCTTGGTGCTTGCAACCCTGCCCCCTCACTTCTGTTGGAGCTAGAGAGAACAGACTCAAATGGATTTTCCTCCACTCCCTTCTTTCCATCACAAGGGTGGGAAGAGATGATCCCTTCCCCAAAGGACAAAGGGGACCCCATCAACTTGGTCCAGCAGGAGAAGAAAGTGGCCACGGAGGCTCCCTCTTAGGCTGGAAGCCCCTTAAGGCTGGAGTCAAGAGGTCAGCCCAACGGGTGCTGGAGAGAAGAGGTCAGGGAGAAGAAACATTACAGAGGCTGGGGCGAGAGTGGCTGATTTGGGGAACCAAGGGGGATGGGAGCTTTGAATATAAAAGATTAAACTTGCAGATAACACTTGGCCCTTCTCACTGCGGAGGGAAAAATCCAGCTGAGATATTCAAAAGAGGGCATTATCTCGGCCTCACATGCGTGGTTTTCCTCTGGGTCAGGGAAAATGGAAAGAGCTCAAAGAGCAGACTCCAGGCTCACTCCGACAGGGGACCCCCTTCCGCAGGACACCAAATCACCAGCCTACTGTAGTTTAGGGCAGTAAGAGTGGGGGGGTGGGAGGGCAGAGAATACTTTTTTTAGCTTTTGTCCTCTAGCCAGAGGAGGATCCAGAAAGACAGTGGGTGGGACCACGGAGCAGGGAGTTGAGAAGGGTTGAGGGGCGGCGCCTTCCAGCCTGGGAGACCAACCCATGAAACAGAACAGAGTGCACGCGCCCACACCAACAGCCAAGGAAGGCACAGGTCAGAACCCCGTCCCCCACTCCACAGACTGGGCCAGAAGTCAAGAGAGCTGGTAGGACCCCACCACTTCCGCCTGCCCTCTCTGTATCAGGGTGCCCAAGAGCCTGGAGAGAATTGGACAGCCCCGAACTGCACTTCTTGGGTCTGGACAGCCCCACCCTGCTTCATCCTCTGGGGTGTCAGTGGGGAAGGCGATGTGCACCTTAAAATTTCCAAGTCCTGGGGCTGGAACAATAGTACAGCAGCTAGGGCACTTGCCTTGCAAACCTGGGTTCAATCCCCAGCATCCCATATGCCACCTCCCCCGTCCAGCCCTGCCAAGTGTGGTCCCTGAGTGTAGTCAGGAATAAGCCCTGAACACCTTGGCTGTGACCAAAAGAAAAATCAAATGAAAAAAAAAATCTCGAGTCCTCTACTATGATACCCCCTTGGTCTCCCAAGCTTGAGCCCCAGCTGTGGGTCATCCTGCAAATGCCCCCCTGCTGGGGGTGGCAGAACTCAGTCTCCGGTGCCCACCAGAGGGTGACAGTGGGCAGGAGGGTAACTGTTTGGAGTTGGTTCCTGAGCCACGGGGCACAGGGACGCGTGTCTTGGGCTCAGCAGTCCACGCTGCCTGCTGGCTCGCTCTGCGGGCACAACGCCCAGGTCCCCAAGTCAGTCACCAGCAAGCCCTGGCCAGCCCCGAGTGAGGGGCAGGGCCCGAGCATGGCCCCTGTGCTCCTTCTGTCTCAGCGGCCCCAGAGCCTCTCCTGGACGAGTCCACCCCTAACACCGCCGGCCACACAGTATGGGGAGTCAGTGGCACCCCCCCTTGCCCTCCAAACTGCGGCATCAGGAGCGGCAGAGAGCAGGGGGCTGCTCGTCACCCTTTGGGGGCTCCTGATAACGCACTCCAGTCTGTGCTCAGTGCTGTCCTGGCAGAGAAAGCCCTGCCCTGGCACCATTTGAGGGGCCAGATATGGTCGCACGTAGCAGATTGGGCAAGACAGGGAAGGGGTGGCACTCTTGGGGCATGAGCTGGTGTGCTAGAGGTGCTTGTACTAGGTGTGAGTGTGGGGTGCGGGTACCAGGGCGGGCTGAGTAGGTTTGGGCTTGAGGGTCCGTGAGCGGGTCCAAGTGTGTGGAGAGTGTATGGGGTGTGAGTGCTGAGGTCAGTGGTGCCCGTGAGTGGGGTATATGTGGAGTGTGTGTGCGGGGTCGGTAGGTATGTGGGGTGAGTATGCAAGGTGCATGTCTATGTTGGTACATGTACAGAGTGTGAGTGCGAAGTGTCTGTAAGGTATGTGTATGTGGGGTGTGAACATGTGGGGCGTTATGTGGGGTGTGTACATGGGGTACATGAGTAAGGTGTGAGCATGTGGGGTGTGTCTTGGGGGTCCGTGAGTGGGGTCTGAGTGTGCGCAGAGTGTGTGGGGTGTGAGTGCTGAGTGCATGGGGGTCCGTGCTGGAGTGTATGTGAAGTGTTTGTGCGGGGTCCTGAGTGAGGTGTGCTTGTGGGGTGTGTGTGGAGGGAGAAAGGGGCCTCAGGACCTGGGGCTGGATGACTGGTGTTCGGGGTGAGACCCCTCATGGTGTGGCTCGTGTCTCACATGATGTCGACATCTTGCAAACACCCGGACAATTTTGTAGCAGAAATGGGAGTGTGAGTTGCAAGATGGGACAGCTGGAGGCTCCATGTGGAGGAAGGGTCCCTTTTCTATCAGCTGCTCTGGGGTGGGGGTCGCCTCTACAGTGTGGCCGATTCCTGGGCAGGTCCTATCCCCACCACTGCCTCAGCAGCACTGGGTTCTCTGGAAGGACTGGGGGGAGGGGCACGGGCAGGGAGAAGAAGAGCACTGGACTTGGAGTCAGAAGGTGGGGCGTGGGCCCTGGCCTGACAGCAGGGTGGTGGCAGAGGAGAGGAGAGCCAGGACCCCGGGGCGGCGAGTCAGAGGAACATGCGAGTTTGCTAACAGCAGGCACAGAGCCATCTGGGAAATGCGACGGGGCGCAGAGGCACCCTGGCAGGGGTGAGGTGTGGGCAAGCGGCTGGAGCAGAGAGCAGGGCCTGGGGTGGCCGCGGGAAGAAGCCCTGGAGGACTGCTGGAGTCTGTGTGCATGGGGGCCAGGCCAGCCAGGGGCTCCGGGGCCACACTGCTGAGCAAGGCAGGCTGCTTAAGGCTCATGCGAGCCTGGAGATGCGCCTCCTGCAAGCCCAGGGCTGGTGCTGGGTCTCTGAGGGGCACAGGCGCCACGGGGGCTGGGCGAGTTGTGGGCTGAGGGCAGTGAGACTCCGCCTGGCTCTGGGTAGGTGAGGGATGGACGCCCAGGTCCCTTACCTGCTGCAGCGTCACTGTTTGCTGAGGCATCTGAGGTGTAGCATGGCGTCGGCAGGGTTAGGTGTGTATGTATGTGTATGTATGAGTGTGTATGTGTGTGTGTATGTGAGTGTGTATGTGTGTGTGAATGTGTGCATGTGTATGAGTGTGTGTGAGTGTGGGTGTGAGTGTGTGTGAGTGTGTATATGTTGGGGTGGGGGGATTACCCCTGTCCTACAGCCCGAGGCTCTGTTAGGGCTGCCCATAGAAAGGAACCAGCTACAAGTGCCCTTCTGGACATGCAGCCGGAGCCCGGGACCTAGCAAGGACAGGTTTGTTGTCCCCTTTGTCTCAGGCTCTCCTGAAGGGGACAGCCAGTCTTCGAGGACAATTCCAGCATTACATGCCTTCACCTGCAGTGGCTGGGCTTACTCTCTGGCACACCTGGGGACAGAGCC